AGATAGATGATAGATAGATAGATAGATAGATAGATAGATGATAGATAGATGTTGATTGATAGAGAAATAGATGATTTGTAAATGATAGAAGATAGAGGATTAATAAATAAATGATAGAAGATAAGTAGGTAGATACACAGATGTTGGTTGATAGAGAAATAGATGATTGATAAATGATAGATGATAGATGATTAATAAATTATAGAAGATAGAAGATAGATGATAGAGAGATAGATAGATGATAGATAGATAGATAGATGATAGCTAGATCGATAGATAGATGATAGATAGATAGATGATAGATAGACAGATAGATGATAGATAGATAGATGATAGATAGATAGATAGATGATAGATAGATAGATGATAGATAGATGATAGATAGATAGATAGATAGATAGATAGATAGATAGATAGATGATAGATAGATAGATAGATAGATGATAGATAGATCGATAGATCGATAGATAGATGATAGACAGACGGACATATGGTAGATAGACAGATGGATATGCTCATATATGGGATGATCATTGATCTCGGGGCTCTTTTTGGCCTATTCCTCCCCCAGCACATCTGTGATAACGTTAAGAACACAAGGCCCATTTGCAGCAATACCAACAGCTGCTGTTAGTCTCAGGGAAGATGTTTGGCACCTGATGTCATCAGCACTTTCAGAAGCCAGCTTGTGCATTTATTCTGCAGGAATGCTGGGTCTCAAACCAGGACTTCCCACAGCTAAGCACTGCTCTTTCACTGAATTACATTCCTGGCCTCAGGTCCAGCTTCTTCACACATAAACCAGCAGAGTCCCTGTCTTCAGATGCCGTGCTTAAAAAAAGCTGTTCCCAGGAGTGTGGTGTGTCAGAGCCTGTCACTCGCTGATCTGCTTTGGTTCAGTGTTTTCAAGTGGGGTGTGATGTCCCCGACCTAACTATGAGCCTTCTCCACGCAGGTCTGTGAGAACTCCTGACATCTGAAGCTTGACTCCCAAGTTTCCATAGCAACAGGAAAAAGAAGAAAAAATTGAATATCCAAATCTGAAGATTGCCACTTACAGCTCTCGAACTTCACACCCAGGCCTCAATGTTCCAGATCCTCCTTTTGTTTGGGATTTCGTTTGCTTTATACTTCAGCATTTTGACAGCATCTTCTCCCCTCCTTTAATTGATGGAACCCTCTGAATTTCCCCTGAGTGTTTAAAGATCATGCCATGTAACTTGACCTTCCAGGAGCAGGAACAGTGACTACTTTGTCTGATGTGTTGACACGTTGCTAGCCACTGCTCCACACACGCAACTGTGCGGTGGGTTCGTATCTGTATATGTATGAGTATCTGTCTGTGTATATACATGGTATTTATATAGGAGACTACAGGAGCAGCCTGCTTTGGAGATGGTCAGACAGCGGGTAGACGCTCAGACAGCTGAACCCTCCAGAACCTTAGCAAAACGCACAGCCCAAGGTCAGGCCACCAAGCCATCACTTGTGCGCAAAGCTGGAATTCCACCAACCTGTTCAGTCTAAACTCTGAATGCTGAAGGACCAGCCAGGCAGGTCCAGAGAGAGGGAGGGATGAAGGGGAGGGGAGGAAGAAGAGAAAGGAAGTCCTCTCTCCTTAGTAGGGGAACTGCCACTACTTCCCACTGCCACCAAACGCCATGACCCTGACTCCCAGGTGGGGAGATACAAGGAATCTTGCCATGCAATGCTAAGAAAGGGCTGAACTTTTCTCCCATAGGCAAGAATCTGTGTTTGTATGTCCCCCAAATCCACAGCCCCACAGTCCTCATGGTGACATGGATCATGGTGGGGAACTTCCCCTTTCTTGGCATACGTACATTTGCAGATGTCATCATGACGTACCTATGAAGAGACCAACAGGTACCATCGTGTATGCACATATATACCCACACGTATAGACACGCATTACGCATATACACACTGTTTGTTTCATATATACAGACATAAATTAGCGTAAACCCAGGTAGTTTTACAAGTACCCTTCTGTGTGACTCAACTACCGTTGTCTGCAAACCTGAAAATAAAGAATTGTTCATTACAGTATGAAAAGTCATTGATTTTTCTCCTGTGAGCATGTCAGGCCAGAGGAAAATTAGTGCTTGTACCAAGATTGTCTTCGTGCTGATAAACCATACATGAACTGTCAAAGCTCACGCCAAATTTTTTTCTATCAAATAAAACTTGTGAGAGCCTGTGGCTTTTATTAGAGCTCACCACAAGCTAGGGTAAGGTAAGTGTCTTAGTCTATTTTAATGCCATTGCTTACTAAGGTTTTAACCACACACACACACACACACACACACACTCACACACACACGCTTTCTTATGCAATCTATGTTGGCCCTGTGCTTTTGAGTTTGCCTTCTGTGGGCGGTAGAAGTCATGTTGTCTTTGTTGTAGTAAAGATTATGCAGGTAGAGTTCCATAACTGTATTTGTTTCAATAGTCAATCTTTTTGGAACATATAGTATGCATAGTTTTTTTCCATTAAAATAAATGGGTATTGGTGGTTAAAACTGCTGGGCAGTAGCTCTTCTAATTTCTACATCGTGTCTAATTTCGCCAACACTGGGTTCACATTTCCCACTATTCAGGATCCCTGTCCTTTGCTGTTAAGGTGAATGGGTCTAGAAAACCAGAAGAGGATGGTTGGAGAGAGCTCAGCAGTTAAGAGCACTTGCTTCCCAATCATGAGAGCCGAAGTTCGGATCCCCACTGTGCCACAGTAACTCAGCAGCAACACCAAAGACAGGCCTAGTGTGGCCAGGAGACCCCAGTCTAAAGCCATGGCTGGTGTGGCTATCCATCCATACCAACACTGAGGTTTGAATATGAAGCTCCCCCCTCCCAAGCTCCTGTGTTAAATGCTTGGTCCCAGGCTGCTGGGAAGGTTCTGGAAACTTTAGGAGGTGGGGCCTCACTGAAGGAAGTGGGCCACTGAGGGCAGGTCCTTGGGGGCATCTAGTTCCTAGGCACTTCCTGCCGGTCTCCATTTCCTGTCTGCCCAAGCTGAAGTGCTGTCTCAGCCACACCATCTTCACCATGGTAGACCGGGACCTCTGAAGCCACAAGTCAAAATAAATCCATCCTTGGGTTGTTTCTGTGTTACAACTGTTAAAACTGTGCAAAAGTAACTACTACAACCAACTTGTGACTACGTAACAGCACCTGTACTATGAGGCATCTTCCACTCTGAAGCACCTCCTTCTGATAGCACCTACCTTTTAAGTTCCTATGGGATGTTTCTGTTAAAATGTTAGCACCATTCTAAATTAATATTTGAGCCTTGGAAATTTTTCCCATATATGACACTGTAATTTCTTAAGTATTCACAGCCTGTTTTCAGAAACATCCATGGCTTGTTAGCAAGTACATAAGGTGCTCCTATCGGAGTTTCACTGATGTGTATGTGTGTATGGTCCTGTGTCTGCCAGGTGCGTACAGTGCCTGTGGAGGCTAGAAGAGGGTGTCAGATCCCCGTAGCTGGAGTTAGACAGCTGTAAGCTACCCAACATGGTTGTTCAGAATCAAACTCAGTTTCCCTAGAAGGGCAACCAGTGCTCTTAACCACTAATCCATCTCTCCAGCTGTCCTAATTACTTTCTGTTGTTATGATAAAAACACTAAAGCCAGGTGTGGTGGCACACACCTTTAATCCCAGCACTCAGGAGGCTGACAGGAGGATCTCTGTGAGATGGAGGCCGGCCTGATCGACATAGTGAGTTCCAGGTCAGCTGGGGCTACAGGGAGACCCTGTCTCAAAAAAACAAAAAGAAAAAAAGTTTAAGAGCCTCTTTAAAAAAAAAAAAATCTCTTAACTGTGGGCTCCTATAAAATCTAAAACAAGGTAAATACTGTCTTATTTCAAAAGGGAAGGACTGGGCACACTTAAGCAAATCCAAAGTCCAGCAAAGTAGCTCAAGGCTGGATATCTGGAATTCACACATGATCTTCCAGGCTCCAAAGGGCTTTTTGGGTAGCTGCACTTCTCTGGCTCTCTCGTCTACAGCACACACAGCTTGTCCCATAGGCTCAAGTTGGCTCCACTCCACACCCGTCACTGCCTTTGGTGGGTGTCCCTTCGCTCTGGCATCTCCAATATGCTGGGTCTCTATTGAACCTGAGGCTGCACCTTCACCAATGGGCTCTCCTGGCCTCTCAGGGTGCAAAGCCTCAGACTGTCTCCATGACCCCTTCATACCTTCAACACCAATACCATGGGAGGTGCTTACACATTACCAAGACCTGATTCCAGCTTGAGTTGGAGCCCCAGGCCACCTCTGGACCATAGCTTCTGTGTGCTGACCTTGAGGAAATCTGAGAGATTTTCACCTTGATGATGCCAGTCTCTTGTTACTTACAGCTAACTTTCAGCCCCAGCTAACCAGCATCAGTTGTCCCAGTAAAGCACAAGAGGTTCTCTTTCAAAATTTTTTAATTCCACACAAACTACTCTTACAGAGTCTTTGCTTCCCTTTGAAGCTTCACAAACCAGGCCTCCATTGTCTACACCTCTTTCAGCATAACTATTCCAAGCTCCACAGCAACAGCTCACTAAACTCTGAGCATTTAATGGCTTTTCCAGCCCCAAAGTTCCAGATGCTTTCACAATTCTCCCAAAAATAACATGGTCAGGTCTGTCACAGCAATATCCCATGATCCTGGTACCAACTTCTGTCTTTGTTTATTTCTATTGCTGTGCCAAAAACCAACTTGGGTAGGAAGGGTTTATTTGGCTTACAGAACAGCCCATCACCAAGGGAAGCAAAAGTGGGAACACAGGACAGGAGCTGGAGCACAGACCATGGAGGTACAGGGTTTATTGGCTTATTCCCCTGGCCTGTGCTCAGCCTGCTTTCTTACATAACCCAGGACCACCTGCCTGGGCCCAGCACCACCCACAGTAAGCTGGGCCCTCCCACATCACTCACTTCCAAAATTTTTAACTCCACACAAACATCCCTGAGAGTCTTTGCTTCCCTTTGAAGCTTCATAAAGCTTCAAATCAAGAAGCTGCCCCCACAGACATGGTCATCGGCCTGTCCAGCAGAGGCAATGCCTCAGTTGACACCCAGATGTGTCAAGTTGACAACTGACACTGTCCAGCACACCAGCTCTGACCAGATTTATTCAATACCTTGATTACCCAAAAGTGAATTCATTTTCATTCATTACCAAACCAAATGATGAAAGGAAAAGCTGAGAGACGGAAGTTCCCAAGAGCTTGGGCTGTGCCTGGCTACAACCCCAAGTCAAAGGGAAAATTCTACAGGATCTTCAAGTAGTTTCTGGTTTTGTAAATGTAGCCCAGTGATGTCTCTAAATTCATGCCTTAAGCATGAATAGACAGATAAATCACACTGTAATAAATAAATAATAAAAGATAAAGTGAGCCTTGAGAAAGCCAACAACTTTTTCTGTTGACCCCTGAACGGTCATTGGAGGGGTCTGGCTATGGCTCCCACAGAGACAGTATGCCCATCTTCAGTCCTTCACTGACTGTGAAGACTGTCATAGACCCTTCTCATAATCTAAGGGGCAAAACACCTTCATCCAAAATGCCCTCCAAAGCAATAAAGAACTCTTTCACTAAATTAAATCTCTATCCCTCATTTCTTCATGTATAGGCCACCACTTGCCAAAGTCCACAGCTGTGACTGTTCAATAAAAACAAGTGTAATAGCCAGGCGTGGCAGTGCACATCTGTAAGCCCAGCGCTTGGGAGCCAGAGGCATGAGCATCTTCAAGGTCATCTTTACCTTTATTGAAAATTCAAGGCCAGCCTGGGCTACATGAGACCCTATCTCATTCTCACTCCCCGTGTCCGTGTAGATGTGACTGTGGTTTGAATATCAAGCACATCCCACAGGCTCACCTGTTGGAACACTTACTTAGTACCCAGATGGTAGTGCTGTCTGGGAAGTTGTGGAACCTTTAGAAGGTAGTGCCTCATTGGAGGAAGTCGTTCGCTGAGGGCAAGCCTTGGGCTTCATAGCCCAGCCCCACTTCCCGCTCACTCTCTGCTTTCTCAGTTCAAATGTAATGTGATCAGCCTGCTTCATGCTCCTGCCTGTGCCTTCCCTGCCGTAAGGGACTGTGCTCTCCAGAACGGGGAGCCAGAGTAAGCCTTCTCTCCCTTAAGTGGCTTTTGGCAGGGTGTTTTATCACAGCAACAGAAAAGTAACCAACACAGATAAGTGAAATGATAGATGATTGACAGATACAAGCATACATAGATGACAGATTCAACACATGATAGGTAGATACATAGATAGATGATAGACAGATACATAGATGATCGGTAGATAGGTGATAGATAGATGATAGACAGATAGATGATAGATAGATAGATAGATAGATAGATAGATAGATGATAGATGATAGATGATAGATGATAGATGGATAGACAGATAACAAGATTACTTTAGCAACATCGTTAGTAACAAAGAGAATGGGGCAATATTTTATAAGTGCCACCTATGGACCAGGCCTTACACATTCATATATGTATGTGTAGATTACATTTCTCATTGTATATGGAATTTATATATATATATATATGTGTATAGTATATAATTATATATGTAGTTTACACAATATATGAGACATTAAAAACATTATCACCAGGCTTGGTGGCACACACCTTTAATTCTAGCACTCTGAAGGCAGAGGCAAGTTGATCTCTGTGAGTTGGAGGCCAGTCTAGTCTACATGGAGAGTTCCAGGCCAGCCAGGGCTACATACTGAAACCCTATCTCAAAAAAACACTTATCTCCCTTGTGCAGATGAAGCCCAGGAGACTCCCAAAGTTAAAACCATCTTGTTCCACGTCTCACAACGTCTCACACCTGAGTGCTGTGCCTGACTCTGCCCTGGGATTTTTCTGCTAGAGTCTAAGACCGCATCACTTCATCCATCACCAGGAAGGAACTGAGGGGTTAGCAACACCATATATAGACCATCATGATTGAACAAGCCCATGGTGACAGGAGACAGAGCCCAAGGGACCCAAACCTGCAAGTCAGAGGCTACAGGAACCATTTCCTGCCTCCCTGAGTGGTCTGTCTCCAGGAAACTGCTGGTCTGGGTAAATTAGTAGAAAAATGATTTCCAGGAAATTTGGAAAATTGCCTGGAATAAACAAAAAGTTGAAACCAGCACTTCAGAGTCAAGGCCGAGCAATCTGAGCCAATCTGGACACCGCTGACCTCACAATTCTTCCCCAGAAAAGCAATTTTCTGTTCTTTTGCAAACACAGCCTCAAAGTTGTGACCTCCCTCCACCCCCTAGTCCAAGTCTGAGCACCTGGTGTGGAAGGCACACGGCACAGTACAGCAAGCCTTGACTGGGACAGGGGACTCCCAGCCAGAAAAACGGGTCTGGGTGATGCTGTTCCTAAGTTATATCTGCCGCAGCTGAACCATTTGCTCTCCAAACCAAGCCTCGCCCTCCGCTCTTCAGTAAGGCCTGTGCTGGGTGGATACGCGTGCCCTTCGGAGAACTCTCCCCCGCCGGC